AGGACCTTGGCGCTGGTGTCTCTGCTGGTTCTGGAGTCGCTGCACGGCCGCGGCCGTACTTCGTTCCGCTCCTTCAGCAGGTTCTTGGTCAGCTCCCTCCTCCTTGTCCTCCTCCCTCCTTAGGGTGTCCTCCGTCTGTCCAGCTGCAGTCGCAGCTACCGTCTGCCTCCTCTCTCCCTGGTCCTGCTCCTTACACTGGTCCGACTGGAGGTCTTACTGAGCGTCGTGAGCTTGAGTCTCGTCCTGCGTCGCCTGAGTCTCGTCGTGCGTTGCCTGTCCGTGCTGCTCTCACTGGTAGTCGTGTCCCGCGTTAGCGTCTTCCTGCTATCCCAGGCACTCACCGGATGGCGCTTCGTCCTTCCACTGCTCCACAGCGTGTCCAACTGCCGTCTCGTCCTAAGTCCTCTTTTCTTGCTCTTGCTGACCCGGAGTCAGATTCCCTTCGTGCTACCAGTCCTACTGTCACGCGTCTCTTGGCTACTGTTGTCACTGACCCTTCCTTTGAGTCCGCTGCTGCGTCTGCCTTAGTTGCTGAGCTTGTCGACTTTGCTGCCACCTATTATCTAGACTACGCCGCTAGCCTAGTTGCTGAGTCTGAGTCTGTCTGTCCTCCGTCCGTTGGGGGTGAGTGTGCTCTTGGCACTGACGTCCTTGAGGACAGGCAGGAGGAGTTTGAGTGCTTTGCTGCCGCTTTGCCCCATCTCGTGTCCATGCTTGTTGCCCCTGAGGGAGACCCGGATGCACCAGACATCCCGACCCCACACTCTTACGCAGAGGCGATGGCCGGTCCCTACTCCTCTCATTGGCAGTCAGCCATGGACACAGAGATGGCTTCCTGGAAGTCCACAGACACCTACGTCAACGAGGTTCCCCCGCCTGGGGCGAACATCGTCAGTGGCATGTGGATTTTCAGGGTGAAGCGGCCGCCGGGTTCTCCGCCTGTCTTCAAGGGCGTTACGTTGCACGAGGCTTCAGTCAGCGAGAGGGAGTTGACTTCTTCCAGACCTTCTCCCCGACCCCGAAGATGACCACTCTTCGGGTTCTGCTGCACGTCGCCGCTCAGCGTGACTACGAGCTCCACTCTCTTGACTTCAGCACTGCTTTCCTACAGGGCAGCCTGCACGAGGAGATCTAGCTGCGCCGCCCACCTGGCTTTACTGGGTCGTTCCCTCCTGGTACCCAGTGGAGCCTCCGACGGCCAGTCTACGGTCTCCGCCTGGCGCCACGTGAGTGGCACGACACACTGAGGACTACACTTGCGGCTCTTGGGTTCGCTCCTTCTACTGCTGACCCGTCGCTTTTTCTACGCACCGACACCTCACTGCCGCCGTTCTACATCCTTGTGTACGTCGACGACTTGGTCTTTGCCACTGCTGACACTGCGGCACTCGCCCACGTGAAGTCGGAGCTGCAAAAGAGACAGACGTGCACAGACCTGGGTGAACTGACAAGCCATCTTGGCTTGTGGATCACCCGGGACAGAGCACGCCGCACCATCACCTTGACTCAGTCACACATGGTGCAGCAGGTCCTTCAGCGCTTCCGCTTCACGTACTCCTCGCCTCAGCCCACTCCTCTGCCTACCGGTCACTCGCTCTCAGCTCTGCCTTCGGATGAGTCCGTAGAGCCGAGTGGCCCGTATCCAGAGCTTGTGGGCTGCCTCATGTACCTGATGACCTTCACTCGACCTGACCTTGCATACCCTCTTAGCATTCTTGCACGCTATGTCGCTCCCGGCCGTCACCGGAAGGAGCACTTGGATGCAGCTAAGAGGGTGTTGCGCTACTTGTGCAGTACGTCGGGCATGGGGCTAGTGCTTGGAGGGCGAGACCTAGTTGTTCTCACTGGGCACTCAGACGCTTCTTGGGCAGACGACCAGGCTACTCAGCGGTCGTCTCAGGGTTACACCTTCAGTCTTGGCTCTGGTTCAGTTTCTTGTTGTTCTACTCGCTCTTCTTCTGTTCTCAGCTCCAGATGTGAGGCTGAGATCTACGCCACAGCCATGGCGGCCCAGGAGCTACGCTGGCTCACCTACTTGCTGACCGACCTTGGAGAGCGGCCTCGTTCTCCTCCAGTGCTGTACGTTGACAACAAGGCAGCCATTGCCTTGTGTCAGGAGCACAGAACGAAGCACATTGCTCTGCGCTACTTCCTTGCTCGAGAGCTGCAGCAACGTGGTCAGCTTCGTCTGCGTTACGTGGCCTCTGAGGGCAACACTGCTGATGTGTTCACCAAGGCGCTTCAGCCTTGTGACCATCAGCGCTTTTGCACTCTTCTAGGCCTTGTGCCTACTGGACCTCACTTGCTTACTTCTTGAGTCTGTTTGTACTGTGATCTTTATATATATATATACCTGCATGTTTACTCTTGCTAGGTTGTGATCTTTGTACCTCTTGTTCTATTATAAACCTGCATGTGAATTGGTCTTGTGACCACTTGCTTGTGCTTGGAATTTGTGTGGTATCCTTGAGATCCACCCTGAGCTTGTTTTGCCTTGATTTGCCTTGACTGGTCTTGTGACCCCTAGTTCTCCCCCACTTCGCCTATGGGGGTGTGTCAAACATTATATATGTTGTGCTTGTTTAGGCTACAGTGGGTTAGGCCATAGGGGGTACACAATTCTAGGGTTAGGTACTTGTACTGATTTCACTGTTAGTTCAATCATTCCTGTTCCTTCATTTCAACAGTGTCGAATCCGATGGCTCAGGATTATTTCGGGCTCGATGATCGGCTCCAATGCAGGGCGAGTTATGGATGGCGAGCGGTGACGAGGAAGTTGTCAAACACTATATGTGTTATTGTTGTGTAGGCTGTAGTGGGTTAGCCTTTAAGGGGTACACAAAGCTAGGGTTTCCTACTTGTACTCCAACTTTCATAGTGCAATCACTTCTTCGTAACATGGTATCAGAGCAGGTCCTCCGCTAGGACCGATTCTTAGGGCCCACCACTACTGCTGCCTACTAGCGCCCTCGTGCGCCCTACTGTCGAAGCGCCCTCGAGCGCCCCCCCCCCCCCTAGCGCCCTCGTGCGCCTCGTTTCCACGGCCCCCTAAGGCCCCGCGACCCGCGACCCGCCCCCCCTTAGCGACTCGCACGCTGCCCCTTAGAGGCCCCCTCGATCCCGCGCACCGCCCCTTAGAGGCCCCGCTGGCCCCGCTTAGAGGCCCCGTCGGCCCCCTATACCCCCCGCGCGCCCACCCCTTAGCGGCCCCGTCGACCCCACGCGCCGCCCCTTAGCGGCCCCGCTGGCCCCGTCGACCCCGCGCGCCGCCCTCTTAGAGACCCTAGCAGGCCCCGACGACCCCACACGCCGCCCCTTAGCGGCCCCGCTGGCCCCGTCGACCCCGCGCGCGACCTTCTTAGAGGCCCCATCGGCCCCGTTTGCCCCGCGCGTGCCCACCCCTTAGCGGCCCCGTCGGCCCCCCCTCGACCCACGCGCCGCCCCTTAGCACCCCGCCGCGACACCCACGGGCCCGCCAGAACGAGCCGCCCGAACCGAGCAGCCCGAACCGAGCCCCCCAGCCCAAACCGAGCCGCCCAAACCGAGCCGCCCAGCCTGAACCGAGCCGCGCCGCCCGAACCGAGCCGCGCCGTTCGTACTGGACCGAGCCGCCCTACCTGAGTCGCACTGCCTACTGTTTTGAGGGTGCACCTACTGCTGCTACTGCAACTCTACTGCTACTCCTACTCCTGCTATGGCTAGCCCTCCCGTGCTAGCTTTCGATGCTGAGGGCCGCCCAGTGAAGTTCGCAACCTGGCTAGATGACCTACACCTCTTCCTACAGCTCACTGCCAAGGAGGACATCTCACTGTACAATCACGCCCTAGGCCATGCTACTGCTCCTGCTGCTACTGCTGACAGCACTGCCCGCTCACAGTGGCAGACTCGTGACGCCCACGCTCGCTTCGCTATTCGCAACTCCCTGCCGATAGACGAGCGCGAGCACTTTGGCCAGCACAAGACTGCACAGGCACTGTACACCGCTGTCATTGCCCGCTACTCCTCACCTGCCTCTGCCGCGCTAGGCCGTCTCTCACTCCCCTACCTGTTTCCTGACCTGGCCTCGTTCCACACAGTCGCTGACCTCATCACGCACCTCCGTACTAGTGAGGCCCGCTTCCGTGCCGCCATGCCCGATGAGTTTCTTGCCAAGAACCCTCCCCTGCTTTGGCTCACTCTCTACCACCTAGTCACCCGCCTCCCTGACACTCTGCGTGCTGTCAGGGATCACTTCCTAGCTCGCTGCCCCACTGAGCTCACCATTGCCCTCCTCGAGAAGGAACTGCTTGCAGCTGAGGCTAGCATAGTCGCTGTAGGTGCCTCTCGTGGCGACCCCCGCACCCCTTTCTTTGAGGGGTGTTCCCCTTCCCCCCTTCTTCCCTCAGTAGCCTCTGCTTCTGCTGTCAACCTCCTTGGTTCTGAGAAGGTAGGGGCTGTGTCTGCTTCGAGCTAGCGCCGCAGCGGCAAGGGCAAAGGGGGCAAGGGAGGCGGAGGTGACGGCGGGGGAGGCGGTGGTGGGGGTGGTGGCGGCGGTGGGGGTGGTGGTGGGACTAGTGGGGCTAGTATCAGCGGTGGGGGTGGTGGCGGCAGCGGCGGGGGAGGTGGCAGGGGCGGGGGCGGTGGTGGGGGCGGCGGTGGACGTGGCGGCGGCAGGGGAGGAGGTGGTCGAGGAGGTGGCGGCGGCGGTGGACGTGGCGGCGGCAGGGGAGGAGGTGGTCGAGGAGGTGGCAGCGGCGGTGGTGGTCGTGGAGGCACTGGCGGTGGCCAGAGCCTGCAGCACTCTCCGTCGCCCCAGGAGCTCCATGAGTGGTACGCTCAGCACGGGGGGGGGGGGGGGGGGGGGGGGTGGCCTTAGCTGCACGTACGTCATCCGCACTGGTGACCGCGCTTGTCAGACGTGTGGGAGGGCGCACTCCACGCAGCGCTGCTTCTCACGCCTCGACGACGCTTGGCGTACTCAGTTCCCTGACGCCACTAAGCTGCCCCGCTGGGCTGATTTGATGAAGCGAAACATTGATATCTTTGCTCTAGACTTTGATGCTATTCTCTCTGCCATGTATGTGATGTCTATAAGTGGAGAGGGTGCCCAGTACCTGCGTGTTCTAGGTGCTAGAGTGTCTGCTACCCCAGGTGCTGGTGAGGCTGCTGCTCTAGGTGCTGGTGCGTCTGCGCCCCCTGGTACTGAGTCGAGTGAGGCACTTCACACCTTTACACTAGACTCAGGTGCCTCCCGCTGTTTCTTTCGTGACCGCACGGCTCTTGAGCAGCTTGCTTAGCCCGTTGCAGTCTCTCTCGCTGACCAATCTGGGGGTCCAGTCCTTGCGACCTCCTCCACTGTCCTCCCCTGTCCGGCACACTGTCCGGTCTCTACCTCCCCTCGTTCTCTACGAACTTGGTGGCGGGTAGTGCGCTCCAGGACAGGGGTGTCCACCAGTTCACACCTGCCTACGAGCGCGTGACACACTTCACGTGTGCTCGGACGGGCTGTCACCTGGCGACCTTCACACGGCAGCCGGGGTCGGACCTGTACACACTGACTACTGAGTCCCCTCAGGTAGCTGCGTCTGCGTGTGCGTTAGGTCAGCTGTCGGCCCCCTGCTCGTGCCGCTCTCTGGCGCACGAGACCGTCCTCTGGCACCACCGACTTGGTCACCTGTCCATGCAGCGCCTTCGGGCAATGCAAAAACGGTACCTTGTCTCTGGTCTTCCCAGAGTTCTCCCTCCCCTCCCGCCCTCGCCTGCTCCTCCCTGTCTTCCCTGTGTCGAGGGGCGGCAGCGCGCTGCTCCTCACTCCTCCTCGTTTCCCCCGACGACTGCTCCCTTGCAGACGCTCCACATGGACGTGTGGGGCCGAGCCCGCGTCCATGGTCAGGGTCAGGAGAGGTACTTCCTGATAGTTGTTGACGACTACTCGCGCTACACCACGGTCTTCCCCTTGCGCACCAAGGGTGAGGTCCCCGATGTTTTGATCCCTTGGATCCGCGCTTCTCGTCTTCTGCTCAGCGAGCGTTTCCACTCGGACTTTCCTGTCCTGCGCTTGCACTCTGACAGAGGTGGTGAGTTCTCTTCCGACCTCTTAGCAGCCTACTGTGCGGAGCACGGCATCCGCCAGTCGTTCACGCTTCCGGCCTCTCCACAGCAGAATGGGGTTGCTGAGCGCCGCATTGGCTTGGTCATGGAGGTCGCTCGTACCTCCTTGATCCATGCGGCTGCCCCCCATTTTCTGTGGCCGTTTGCGGTCCGATACGCTGCGCATCAGCTCAACCTCTGGCCTCGTGTCTCCTTGCCGGAGACTTCCCCGACACTGCGTTGGATGGGAGAGGTTGGCGATGCGTCGCGTTTTCGGGTCTGGGGATCCCGAGCTTTTGTTCGCGATACGTCCGTGGACAAGCTCTCCTCCCGCGCTGTTCTGTGTGTCTTCCTAGGCTTTGTTCCGGACGCGTCTGGTTGGCAGTTTTACCACCCCACCTCGCGCCGTGTCCTCGCCTCTCAGGACGTCAACTTTGACGAGTCGGTACCCTTCTACCGCCTCTTCCCCTACCGCACTGCCCCGCTCCCCCCCCCGCCTCTCTTCCTCGCGCCAGGTGCTGCTGTGGTAGACCCCCCTCCCCCCTTAGGGTGCCGCTCCCTCAGGTGTGTCCCAGGTAGACCCGGTTGAGCCTGTCGAGGTAGCTGTCGACTCTCGTCCTGCTCGGGGTGTTGAGCCTGAGGTTGCGGGGACTGGGGGTGCGGAGTCTGGGGGTGCTGAGCCTGGGAGTACAGAGCTTGCTTGTGCTGAGTCTGGGGGTGCTGAGCCTAGGAGTGCTACGCCTGGAGGAGCTCTCTCCTCACAGCAGCTGCGTGAGTGGTACTTCCAGTACTGCAGCCTCAGGAGAGGTGCTTCTGGAGCTAGGAGTGCTGCTGGAGCTGGTGCTCGTGCTTCCTCTCCTAGGTGGGAGCTGCCCTCTCCCCAGCAACTTCGTGAGTGGTACGCACGGCGCTGCAGTCTCAGGAGTGGCGCTCCTAGTGTCGCGGACCCTGCTACTGGTGCTGCGGACCCTGGAGTTGGAGCTGCTGCTGCTCCTGCGGACCCGGGCGTTGGAGCTGCTGCTGGTGCTGCGGACCCTGGAGTTGGGGTTGCTACTGGTGCTGCGGAACTGGGGGTTGGAGCTGCTGCTGGTGTTGCGGACCCTGGAGTTGGGGCTGCTGCTGGTGCTGCGGACTCGGGCATTGGAGCTGCTAGAGCTGCTGGTCCTTGCGATGCTGGGGGTGCTGCTGGAGCTGCTGGAGGTTTTGGTGCTGTCTCTGCTGCTGCAGGGGGCACCTCGCGGCCGCGGCCGTACTTCGTTCCACTCCTTCAGCAGGTTCTTGGTCAGTCACCTCCGCCTGGTCCCCCTCCCTCTGTAGAGTGTCCACAGCCGGTCCAGTCGCAGTCACAGCTATCACCTGCCTCGCCACTTCCTCGTCCTTCTCCCTACACTGGTCCTACAGGCGGTCTTACGGAGCGTCGTGAGCCTGAGTCTCGCCCTGAGTCGCCTGTGTCCCGTCCTGAGTCACATGTTTGTACTACTTCCACCAGTCGCCGTACTCCGCGTGAGCGTCCGCCACAAGTCCCTGGCACACACCGGATGTCACTGCGTCCCTCCAGTGCTCCACAGCGTGTCCCTCTGCCGTCTCCTCCTGAGTCCTCTCTTCCTGCTCTTGCTGACCCTGAGTCTGACTCTCTTCGTGCTGCCAGTCCTACTGTCACGCGCCTCCTGGCCACTGCTGTCATTGACCCTTCGTTTGAGTGTGCTGCTGCGTCTGCCCTAGTTGCTGAGCTTGTCGACTTTACTGCTCGCTGTCGTCTAGACTACGCTGCCAGTCTTGTCGCTGATTCTGAGTCTGTCTGTCCTCCGTCTGTTGGGGGTGAGTGTGCTCTTCGCACGGACGTCCTTGAGGACCGACAGGAGGATCTTGAGTGTCTTGCAGCCGCTGCGCCCCATCTTGTGTCCATGCTAGTTGCCCCTGAGGGAGACCCGGATGCACCACACATCCCGACTCCTCGATCGTACGCTGAGGCGATCGAGGGTCCCTACTCCTCACAGTGGTAGTCAGCCATGGACGCAGAGATGGCCTCCTGGAAGTCCACAGGCACCTACGTCGACGAGGTTCCCCCACCTGGGGCGAACATCGTCAGTGGCATGTGGATTTTTAGGGTGAAGCGGCCGCCGGGTTCTCCGCCTGTCTTCAAGGCTCGTTACGTTGCTCGAGGCTTCACTCAGCGAGAGGGAGTAGACTTCTTTGAGACCTTCTCCCCCACCCCGAAGATGACCACTCTTCGGGTACTACTGCACGTTGCTGCTCAGCGCGACTACGTGGCTTGTGGTTGGGATGTATGGGCGAAGCAGGCTGACGTGGAACGAAAGGCTAATGTACCAGTCCGTCGGCAACAGTAGGTGGGCTGTCACTGGGGTAATCATGTGGCTGATCTGGAATGGTCCATAGTAGCGGGGTCGTAATTTTGGTACGACGGGCAGTCTTAAGTTCTGAGTGTCGAGCAGTACGTAGTCTCCTGTCTGGTACGTGACTGGGCGGTGGTGGCGGTCAGCATTGCGCTTAACAATGACATTGGTTTTTTTAATTGCTTCAGTGGCTCTGGTGTGGGTAGCTTGCAGAATTTCGGCAAATTGCTGTGCACGTGGTGTTGGGTTGTCCGGACTCGGCGTCATGGGCACTGTAGGGTTTTGCCCGTAGTTCAGGTAGAAGGGGGACTGCTGCGTCGTCGCTGACGTGTCGTTGTTATACGCGAACTCGATCAGCGGCAGCTGCTGCTCCCAAGTGGTCGGGTTGCGCACGTGGCACGAATCAACTGCTCCATCGTCTGATTTGTCCGCTCCGTTTGACCGTCGGTCTCAGGGTGGTAGGACGAGCTGAACCGTAGCCTTGTCCCGAACTGCTCCCAGAGAATCTTCCAGAAGTTGCTGGTGAACTTCGTGTCGCAATCGCAGATTATCGCTGCTGGTATCCCATGTAGTCGAACGATGGCTGCGATGAACAGGCGAGCGGTTTCTTAGGCTGAGATCAATTTCGTGCACGCAGCAAAGTGTGCCATCTTCGTCAACCTGTCAACAACGACCATAACTACGTCGTTACCCCTAGGGTTCGAAGGTAACCCCGTGACAAAATCATGGTAACCTGCTGCCAGGCGCGCTCAGGCGGTGGAATCGGCTGCAGCTGACCCGCCTTTCTCTTTCGCGAGCTCTTCATCACCTAACATGTTAAACACGAGCCCACGTGGTGCTGTACGTCGGTCAACAGCTCAGGCCAGTAGTAATACCGTTGCAGTTGCTGTTGTGAAGAATGAGGAATGAATGAACTAGCAAGCAGGTGGGTACAAGTAGGAAAACCTAGAAATGTTGTACCCCATATAGTCTACCCCACTACAGCCTACACAGACTATAGTATATAAGTTTGACACACCCCCATAGGCAAAGTGGGGGAGAACACAAGACCAGTCAAGCAAAGCAAAGCAAGCTCAGGGTGGATCACAACGTCACCACACAATCCAAGCACAAGAGCAAGGCCAAAAGGCCAGTTCACATGCAAGATCATATATAAAGGTAAACAGGCAAGTGCAGGTATAGAAAGATCACAGTACAAGCAAGGTCAAGAAGTGAGCAAGTGAGGCCAAGTAGGCACAAGACCTAGCATCGTACAGAAGCGCTGATGATCACCAGGCGGAAGTGCCTTGGTAAAGATATCAGCAGTGTTGGCCTCAGAGGCCACGTAAGCAAGGCGCAGCTGACCACGCTGCTGCAGCTCACGAGCAAGGAAGTAGCGAAGAGCAATGTGCTTCGTTCTGTGCTCCAGTCTGTGCTCCCGACACAAGGCCAGCATGGCCTTGTTGTCTACGTACAGAACTGGAGGAGAACGAGGCGGCACTCCTAGGTCAGTCAGCAAGTAGGTGAGCCACGTAGCTCCTATGCAGCCATGGCCCCTGCGTAGATCTCTGCCTCACAGCTGGAGCCAAGAACAGAAGACGAACGGGTAGACCGCCACGAAACAGAGCCGGAACTAAGGCTGAAGGTGTAACCCTGTGACGACCGCTGCGTAGCCTGGTCGTCAGCGCAAGAAGCGTCTGCGTGACCTGTGAGGACCACTGGACGTCGCCCTCCAAGCACTAGCCCCATGCCCGACGTACTGCACAAGTAGCGCAACACCCTCTTCGCTGCAGCCATGTGCTCTGGTCGGTGTCTCCCAAGAGCAACATAGCGTGCCAAGATGCTAAGAGGGTATGCAAGGTCAGGTCGTGTGCAGGTCATCAGGTACATGAGGCAGCCAACAAGCTCTGGGTACAGGCCACTCGGCTCTACGGACTCATCCGAAGGCAGAGCTGAGAGCGAGTGGCGAGTAGACAGAGGAGTGGCCTGAGGCGAGGAGTACGTGAAGTCGAAGCGCTGAAGGACCTGCTGCACCATGTGTGACTGAGTCAGGGTAATGGTGCACTGTACTCTGTCCCGGGTGATCTGCAAGCCAAGGTAGCTCTGCAGTTCACCCAAGTCTGTGCACGTGTGTCTCTTCTACAGCTCGGACTTCACGTGGGCGAGTCCAGCAGTGTCAGCAGTGGCAAAGACCAGGTCATCGACGTACACGAGGATGTAGAACGGCGGCAAAGAGGTGTCGGTGTGCAGAAACAGCGACGGGTCGGCAGTAGAAGGAGCAAACCCAAGAGCCGCAAGTGTAGTCCTCAGTGTGTCATGCCACTCACGGGGTGCCTGGCGGAGACCATAGACTGGCCGCCGGAGGCTCCACTGGGTACCAGGAGGAAACGACCCAGTGAAGCCAGGTGGGCGGCGCAGCCAGATCTCCTCGTGCAGGCTGCCCTGCAGGAAAGCTGTGCTGAAGTCAAGAGAGTGAAGCTCGTAGTCGCGCTGAGCGGCTATGTGCAGCAGCACCCGAAGAGTGGTCATCTTTGGGGTGGGAGAGAAGGTCTGAAAGTAGTGAACTCCCTGCCGCTGACTGAAGCCTCGAGCCATGTAACGCGCCTTGAAGATAGGCGGAGAACCCGGCGGCCGCTTCTCCCTGAAGATCCACATGCCACTGATGATGTTCGCCCCAGTTGGGGGAACCTCGTCGACGTAAGTGCCCGTGGACTTCTAGGAAGCCATCTCTGCGTCCATGGCTGACTGCCACTGTGAGGAGTAGGGACCCTCGATCGCCTCAGCGTACAATCGAGGAGTCGGGATGTCTGGTGCATCCGGGTCTCCCTCAGGGGCAATCAGCGTGGACACGAGATGAGGCAAAGCAGCAGCAAAACACTAGAACTCCTCCTGCCTGTCCTCAAGGACGTCCGTGCTAAGAGCACACTCACCCCCGACGGATGGAGGACAGACAGACTCAGATTCAGCAACGAGACTAGCGGTGTAGTGTAGACGACAGCGAGCAGCAAAGTCGACAAGCTCAGCAACTACGGCAGACGCAGCAGTGGACTCAAAGGAAGGGTCAGTGACAACAGTAGCCAGGAGACGCCTGACAGTAGGACTGGCAGCATGAAGAGAGTCAGACTCCGGATCTGCAAGAACAGGAAGAGAGGACTCTGGAGGAGATAGCAACGGGACACGCAGAGGAGCAGTGGAAGGACGCAGTGCAATCTGGTGTGTGCCTGGGACCGCAGGAAGACGCGGACGCGGAGCCCGACCACTAGTGCGAGCTGCACGAACAGGCGACGCAGGACGAGACGCAGGCTCACAACGCTCAGCAAGACCTCCAGTGGGACCAGTGTAGGGAGAAGGAGCAGGTAGGGGGGAGGCGGGCTGTAACTGTGATAGCGACTGGACAGGCTGTGGACACTCTAAGGGTGGAGCAGGACCAGTAGAGGGCGGGAGACCAAGAACCTGCTCAAGGAGCGGAACGAAGTACGGCTGCGGCCGCGCAGCGCCTCCAGAACGAGCAGGGACAGCACCAGTACCCCCAGCGGCAGCACCAGTGCCAGGAGCACCTCCAGCTCCAACAGTGCCAACTCCAGCACCCTCAGAAGCACCAGCGCCGGCAGCACCTCCAGCGCCAACACCCCCAGCAGCTCCAGCAACACCAACTCCAGCAGCTCCAGCAGCACCAACTCCAGTAGGACCGTCAGCTCCAGCAGCCCCAGCAGCACCCCCAGTCCTAGCAGCTCCAGTACCGCCAGTACGAGCACCTCCAGGACCAGCAGCAATAGTAGCACCTCCAGCTCCAGCAGCACGGCTCCAGCGCCGGGCAAACCACTAGCGCAGCTCCTGCGGAGAGGGTAGCTCCCGCCTCGACGAAGCACCGCCAGAGGCCACACGAGCAGACCCAGCACCCCCAGGCTCCGCACCCCCAGGCTCTGCACCCCTAGGCTCAGCACCCCCAGGCTCCGCACCCCCAGGCTCCGCACCCCCAGGCTCAGCACCCCTAGACTCAGCACCCCCAGGCCCCGCACCCCAAGGCTCAGCACCCCCAGACCCGGCACCCGCAGGTTCAGCACCCGTAGCAGCACCAGTACCCCCAGCGGCAGCACCAGCGCCAACAGCACCTCCAGCTCCAACAGCGCCAACTCCAGCACCCTCAAACGCACCAGCGCCAGCACAACCACCAGCGCCAACACCCCCAGCAGCTCCAGCTCCAGCAGCTCCAGTAGCACCAACTCCAGCAGGACCGGCAGCTCCAGTACCGCCAGCAGCTCCAGCAGTACCTCCAGCAGGACCAATTCCAGCAGCCCCAGTAGCACCCCCAGTCCCAGCAGCTCCAGTACCGCCATTACGAGCACCTCCGGGACTAGCAGCAACAGTAGTACCTCCAGCTCCAGCAGCACGGCTCCAGCGCCGGGCAAACCACTAGCGCAGCTCCTGCGGAGAGAGTAGCTCCCGCCTCGACGAAGCACCGCGAGAGGCCGCACGAGCAGACCCAGCACCCCCAAGCTCCGCACCCCCAGGCTCAGCACCCCCAGACTCAGCACCCCCAGGCTCCGCACCCCCAGGCTCAGCACCTCCAGACCCGGCACCTGCAGGCTCAGTACCTCTAGCAGCACCAGAGTCAATAGCTACCTCGACAGGCTCGACTGCGTCAACCTGGGACACACCTGACGGGGCAG